TCTGTCTCTGTCTCTGTCTCTGTCTCTCTGTGTGTGTGTGTGTGTGTGTGTGTGTGTGTGTGTGTGTGTATGCATGCTGGGGATTGAACCTAGGGCCTTCATACTGAGATACAACTCCTGTCCTTTTTATATTTTGTTTTGAGATGGGTTCACTAAGTCACTACCTGATTCTCCTGCCTCAGCCTCCCCAGAGTGCTGAAATTATAGACACATACTACGGCCATGGTTCCTGGAAGACTTCTGGAAGGTTCACTTACATCTGGGTGTTGTGCTGAACATCTGTTTCATTTCGTGTTTGTTACTTTGGGTGAAAAATCGGCCATTTATGGAGCTGTCTATCGTCTTTCTCCCTGCTGTACCAAGTCTACTGAGATTCCCAATGCACCATATCTTTCCTTGATCCTTTCTTCTCCATCCCCGGAAAAAGGTCTTGTCTTCTGTTTGTAGATATCTCAACCCTATAGAGTTACAAGGAATCAAGAGATTTCTGAATCTGCTTTTGTTCACACTTCACTTTGAAGAGCTCATTCCTTCTTTCCCCTTTACAGGGCCAGAAGGGAAGCAAAGGAGAAAATGGTATCCCAGGACTTCCTGGCTTCCTGGGTCCCCGTGGGCCTCCGGTAAGCAAAGAGTCTCTGTGGGGACCATGATACCTGGCTCCAGGGTAACATGCACATTCAGTATCACCATGATGCAGTGCGGGGTCAATGAGCCTCATGAGTTTAGAGACAGTGGGAGAGGGCTCAGCTGCCCCACCATTCTCTAATTGTTGGGCATTAGGAAGTCTTCTAATATCTTCGTGTCTGGCTCCCTCATTGCTGGAGTGACTGTAACGGAATCTCTGGGCTCTGAGGACTAGATGAGATGACCTGGGTAAAGGGATTAGTGTCTCCTGATGCAGCATGGTGCTCAGGAAATAGAAATGATTGTGATGGGAATTTGGTGGGGGTAATGGTAGCGATAAGAGTCCTAGAACTTGAAATCAATTTAAAGATGAGCAAGTTGGGGCTACAAGGTCAAAACCTGTAAGTGGCTGGCAGAGGCCTCATGCTAGGTATGTGGCCAGCTGGTGCTTGAGTCTGGTTCACACAACTTGGCAGCTTGGGGCAGGGAGAAGCTGCTGGGTGGTCATAGCTGAGCTCTACACTGGCCCTGGTGCATTGTGCATGCCTGGCCCAAAGCTGGGAGTGCTGACCTGCAGATGAGGGTATGTTGCCACACTAGGGTGGCTGCTCTCCACAGTGCTGAACCCCACCTGCAGTTTAGTCCTGTCCCCAAGTGCCACTCCTCTCAGACAGTGGCCCTTCCTTCACCCTCTTCTGTTCTGTTGCCTGCATACTGCATGGCTCATGAGGTTTACTTGGATCCCTTCACACACTCATTCCTTTTCCACCCCTTTGCTGATAATCTGGCTGCCACCAGGAGCCGGGTACTCACTCTCGGCATCAAGTATCCCTTTCCTGTGTGCACAGCAGGCCATTTCATCAGGCCTGCTACACGTCTGCTGTTGTGCTGTGTAATTTACCAATGCTAAGGCTTGTATGTCTCATGGTACCTAATGAGGCAGGTACGGCTACCTTTACAGTGTGACATACGAGGAAACCAAGGCACAGAGTTTCAGAAGATCCTGACATTGCTCCCCATCACAACGCCAAGCTTTGCATTCTGCACCCAGTGTCTTCTTGGTGGCTTCTTTCACACACTGAGCTTGCTCTTCACTGCATCTCCCACAAGCAGATGATTTGCAAAACTGATGCTCTGGAGGGCTCTGGGTGAAACCAAACATATCCCAGAAGCCCAAAGCTTGGGGCTCCCCTTCCATGCCGGGACACTTGCCTTTCTCTGCACAGGCTGAGCAGACAACCATACTTGGGCTCTCCTTGGTTGGGTGGGCCATGGATCACTGTATTTGCTGGAACGTGACTTGAATGAAAAGGTCTATTTGGAAGACTGCTGCGCTACTCACAATGTGTCGATGCTGCAGACCCCAACTGGTATTTTTTTTTTTTTTTTCTGTTTCATAGGGAGAAGCGGGAGAGAAAGGTGTGCCGGGCAAGGAGGCAAGTACCACCACACTGTTCTCCCTTGCAACCCTCCCCGTGGGTGCAGAGGGCTGGCCTCAGGCGGGCACTAGAAGACTCCACTCACTCAATGCAGAGGTCTGGCCTCAGGCGGGCAGTCTGCACTAGAAGACTCCACTCACTCAATGCTTTGTTGTCGTAGTGTTGCAGTCATCGATGCTTTTTAAGCAAGAGGCTCATGCTTGAATTTGCACAGGTGCTCCCAGGTGATGCAGCCACCAGGCTCCCATCTGGACATGTCTTTCCTTGTCTCCCCCACGGGATCCACCCTACCAGCAAGTCCCATAAGCTCTAACCCTCTGTGCTGTCCAGCCTTCCCCACAGCTTCCACCTGGCACTTAGTGCAGCCTGTTACCCTCTTTTGCTGAGACTGTGGCAGTGGCATCGTAATCACTTCCTCCATCCAGCTTTGGCAAGCCAGAGGTCTGTGGACCTTGCGTAGATTGTGCCACCTCACAGTTTAGACCTCACCCTTGTCTTCACACATGCTATCAGGTTATCCAGGGTGCTCCATAGCCTGCCCACTGCTGCCCACTCAGCTCCTATCACTCTGCCATTTTAGGCCCTGAAATGCCAAATTCTTTCCTTAGATCCTTTTTTAAAGAAAGCCCATATACCCTGCTCTCCCTTTTCTTTCCACGTCGGTCTCTCTGAGCCAGCAGGGGCAAAGCCGATGCCCCTGGTCTGTCTGAGCCCTCTGCCTTGCTCTGACCTACCTGGGATGCCAGCACATGGTAGGCAGCAGAAGCATTGACAGATGAGCAGCAGAATAGATGAGCAGAGAAGAGAGCTCTGTGGACAGCCGTGAATTCATTTCAAAGCCCGTGCTGCCTCTGGAAGAAAGATGGGCTTGCAGTGTGGTTCTGGGTTACTTGTTCTGTGGGGTGGAGACCAGGGACTTGTCGGAAACTTGATCAAGTGGTCCATGTGTGGGAAGCATTTGCCTCTGTCCCAGCCGTGGGCTGCCACTCACTGGGCGCGTCCTTCTCACAGTGACCTATCACTGCTTGCTCCCTCTTGCTTTTTGGGCTGAGGTGAAGGGAAATGACGCCCAGCTTCCATTTTCGAGGGCTTCATCACCCCTGTGGGATTATAAATGAGGTCCTGTCTACATGGGTGCTCTCAGCCTCCCTGTTGCCTTTCAGAGAGTTAAGTAGACATCTGAATTCTTCCTAGCCCTGACTGCAATGTCTTTTTCAAATGTGAGCTCCTGCCTTTGGCCAAAACACACACCATGTCTATCCATTGTGCAGGACTTGATCTTTAGGCTACCTGGAGTGCCTTTCCTGCCTCCTTTCTCTATTAGCTTTAATCTGATCTTCAAAGCTCTATGCTCCCAGTGCACAAACTCACGCTCTTTCTCCCAGGGGTGAGGAACAATTTATTTTCCTTCTATTAAAAAAACAAACAAAAAGAAACAAGTCCATCTGTGCTGTGGGAGAATTATGCCCATGCCTGTATCGTAGCGAGCCTGTGAGCACAGTGAGAACAGGGACTGTGTCCCTCCCCCTATCCCATGGGGCGCAGGTGATGCCTGCAAGAGTTGAGCATGGTGAGTGTTTCTGGGCTGGGACAGCAGCTTTAGCCGGGCTCACAGGAGCTTGAGAACCTTTGCTTCCCTGAACCGTCACAGGCTCTGTCCCCTGCTGCTGGGACAGGAGCTACTGGGTGACCTTACTCTCCAACTGTCAAGCCCTGTGTTTGGGTCTTGCACAAAGTGGATTTTGGAGAATGTGGGATTTGGATGGGAAGATGGACATGGAAGAAAGGAAGAAGGCCAGGTCTCACTTGCTGAAAGCTTCTTGTCTGAGGGAAAGGCAGACAAGTCCACCTCTGCCCCACATCAGGGGGAAGTCTGAGGTCACCTGGCAGGAATGAGACCCAGGCTTAAGGATGGGCACTTGCCGGAAGAATCATACAAAGGCTTGCAGAGGAGGGCCCATGGTGCTGGGGGCAGAGAAAGAAAAGGGATAGCCAGGAGGGGAGAAGCAAAGGTTGGCAGGGAGCCAGGGGTCTCAGCAGTTAGGCCAGCAGGCTGGCTCCCTCTTTCTGATGTGCCTTTCCTCCTGGAACCAGGGGAGCTTGGGAGAGGACCACTCCCACTTCTCTTAGTGCCCTGGGGGGGGTGCTTGCTGGGAAGGTCCTGAGGCTCGGTCCATTAGTTATCTGGACAGAAGATGGGGCTGGGTACTGACACAGGGAAGATGGTGAACAGATGCTAAGGTTCAGCAGACCTGCATGTGCCTTGCAGTAAGGACTGAGAGTTATCTGGGTTGGCTGGACCAGAGTCAGGTGGGGCAAATAGTGACATGGGTGTGTGTCCAAACCCAGATGATGGCAAGGCTTGGGCAGCCAGGGCATGGTTCATCCTGAGAGGTGAAAAAGGATTCTGAAGATGCTCAGCCATGGCTCGGTGCTGTCCTTGGTAGAGGGTGACAAGGTTAGGAGGAAAGGAGAGAAGAGGAAGACAGCCAGAATCCCACAGTCTGTACAGATCAGGTGGAGGCTCTTGGGAGACCTTGTTTCTCCAGCTCATTGGTCCTCAGCATGCAGAGCGGAAAACCAAGAAAGAACCAAGAACCAAGAAAGGCAAGGATGCCATCCCAGGTGTCTTGGGTACAATGACCATGTCCCCTCCGTCTCATTATAGGGTACGCCTGGGAAGCCTGGAGAGCCGGGAGCCAAAGGAGAAAAGGTAAATGCAAGGACAGGCCCTTTGCACACAGTGAGTGTGACCTCCCACAGTGGCAAGGGGCCTTTGAGGCTGCTGTCTGCCCGGGGTGGATAATAACCAGCCCTGCTGGAGAGCCAGGTCGTGCAGTGGCTGCTGATCACTGTTCTCCGGGAAATCTGCATCCCAACCAAGGGCGGTTCTTTACCCTCTCCCAAATTTTTGTGCTCGCTGTTTTCCTGCTCTTCTTTTTGGTTATTTTCAGGAATAAAACCCTGATCCTAATTACCCATGCAAAGGCAAGTGTGGGGCGACGCTGACAGATTTCCTTCTCCCCCTGTGCGAATGTGCCTGCGTGATGGGCCTGGCTCCCAAAGTGCCAATTTGCTGGGAGCCAGATTTGTCGCTGGAGGTGACAAAGGAACAGATTTTCCCATAATGAGTTGCCGTGGTGCCACGCTCAGACATTTCATTTCTCCAGAAACCAAGATGGAAAAGTGGTGTGTGTGTGTGTGTGTGTGTGTGTGTGTGTGTGTCTGTGCAGATTAGCCAGAGCGGGTGGGAAGCATCCCCGAGCTTGCGGCGGATGCTCTCTTTAGTGGCTCTGGTGCGTCTCGCTGGGCTGTCCACCGCCTCCTGTTTGGTCAGCCTTCTTGCTGTTGCAAGACACGGCCGTCACCCCACCCCCGCTTGTTTTTCTTAGTCCTGCAAAGAATTTATCGCGGCTTTCTTGGCAAGTGGGTTGGGTGGGGAGCCGGCCAGGGCGGAGGCAAGGAAGCAGAGTCTCAGGCACCACGCTGCTCCTGTCTGTCTTCCTGCCCGCTTCCTAGGATGCTGGCTCCACTTTCCCACAGCTGCTGCTCCCCATTTGATGGAGCCTGCGAGGGGCTGTGGCTGGAAGGTGTGGGGTCCGGAAAGTGTCATTCAGGTCCTGTAGGCTGGGGCTTGAGTTTAGGTGGAGAGCCAGGGAATTCAGACTGCAGATAGAAATCTCTTCTCTAATAGCAAATCAATAAAAGCAGAGCGTGCCTTTCCCTGGCTAAGTGGTTTAAGGGAATAGTGCCAGGCTGTCTTTAGGTTCTTGGGGATAGTTGAAATATGGACAGTCTTCTTATCCCAAAGTGGCAAGAGACATTTAATGAGTAGGAAATTCTGTGCCACTTGTGGCATCTGGGTGGACACGGAGCCAGGGTTTTTGAAGACCCCTGCACTCAGGCTCACCCAGGGAGATGGCAGCGCCTCCAGGGAATGTGGTGAACTTGGATAACTGGAGGTCACCCTCAGATCTGGCTAGCCTGATTAGGTCACTCACTGCTTTTCTGATTGTTGTTGAGATTTTAGACACAATACAAGGTCAGGAGTAAACAGGAGAACTGCAAGCAAGTAAGGCAGTGAAAGTCCTGCATCCTCCCTGTCCTGTCCCTCAGCCTGCCCCTTCCTGGGGTCCTCGCTGCACAGCTGCTTCAACCAGGAGACCTCACTCACAGAAGGAGGGCTGTCACACGTGTGCCCTGCTCCCACCCCCTCCCTAGCTCTGAACAGATCCCTCTGTCCCTGCCTTTGCTGCAGTTTCTTCCCCTGAGGCACAGTGCTGTTTCAGAATTGAGCAGCTTCCCTCCTCAAGGGTACCAGGTCATGTTCCTGACAAGGCACATTTCTAGTTACCATTGTCTCTCTCTATTTTTCTCCCTGTCCCTCCCTCCCTGCTCTGGGTCAGCAGTGGAGTGTCTTACACTTCACATCCATTAATGTGGCTTCCATGTGTTGAGACTCATTGACCCCTGCAGTGGCTGCGACCCAGAGATACTAGGGACAGGGCTGGCTGGCCTGGGCTGCTCTGCTCCTAAATTTGATCCTTTACCCCAGGCTCCGGGTCTGTTTGGTGTAGAGGTGTTCAGGCACTGAGCCTGGATGTGGGCTGGGCTGCTATGAATGCACAAGAACAAGGGAAGAGTGTGGGGAGGGCCTGGGAAAGGGAACCTTTCTGTTCCTCCAGCTGGCAGAGGACAGAGCTTCTCCCAGTTGCAGGTGGCAGCTGGCCTCCACTCCTGGAGGAGCTATGCTTTTGGGGGTAGCCTAGGAGTAGAAGTTCTTTCTTTTCTGAGGTATGAGTGATGCAGCACAACCCCACTTCCCCTCCATCACTGCACTGAGCCCCTCTGAAGCCTTCCACAATTTTATACATATGCCCAGGAAATTGCTGCAGTTAAATTACTGTAGATGTTGAAACCTAGGATTTCAGGGTAGCAGTGCAGGCTGGTGAGTGTGGACGGAGGGCCCTGGACTGCCTCCCCGTGCTTTGGCAGCTCAGCGCTCTGTGATGTGGGTGTGCCACCACTTCCTGCTGCCCTCCAGGGATAGGTGTGTGAGGGGCTCCCTTACAGGTGCCAGAGTTGGGAGGCCTAAGCTGCCCCCAACCTCCACAGATGGTCTCAAGCTCCATGTCCTCAGGATGGATGATGGTTACCTGACTCATGCATAGCGGGTCGAAGCCTCCTCTAGAGTCTCATGAGGCAGCTCATCACCTCTCTGCTTGTGTTTCTTCCATCCCTGCTCCACGTGCTCATGTGCTTTGTCTTCTCCTCTAGGGAGACCCTGGGAGCAAAGGAGAAAAAGGACTGCCTGGTGGGAAAGGTCAGCCTGGGGACCCTGGAATCCCAGGCCACAAAGGCCACACAGGTCTGATGGGCCCCCAAGGGCCACCTGGGGAAAGCGGGCCAGCCGGGCCCCCAGGACCACCAGGCCAACCAGGATTTCCGGGACTGAGGGTAAGGTTATTGACCTCACTGTCGATTAGGGACTCCTGTGGGCCTGTGGGGAAAACAGCGAGGTGGGTGGCCTCCAAGGGGAGCATATCGTGGACCTCTGTCTGCCAGGGACTGCTGCATGGCCAGGGGCAGGCCACCCCCCTCCTCTGGGGCTGCAGAAGCTGATAAGAGAATGCTCTTCTATTTGGTTATTTTTAAGTAAAATGATGTGTATAGCTTAAGAGGTGCTTGAAAATATTGTTGCCATCTGTTTAGATGGTAAGGAGCTCGCTAGGCACTGCACGCTGGGCCGTGAGACTGCTCTTCCAGGTCCCCAGGCAGAGACTGCTGAGAAGACTCTCCCTCTCAGAGACCTGAGCTTTACTGGGGGATGTTTTACCATCCGCTCACTGCATGGCCTCGAACCCTTCGTATCCTGGAATATTCATTCACCATCCTCAAGTGTAAAAAGAAATGTTTCCTTTGAGTCTTGAGTTTTTTCTTTTCTTTTAAACAATTTTATTCTAGTTGCAGAACTATTGTTTTATAGCAACAGCCTTTTAACCCTACATATTGGCTATAAAATGATAAAAGCCAGGTGAACCTGGATGCATCCTCTTATAATTCCAGCATGCAGGAGGCAAGAGGATCACAAATTTGTGCCCAGCCAGGGCCACTTAGTGAGACTGTGTCTCAAAGTTTAAAATAACAACACTGGAATGCAGCTCAGTCTGAAGGTCCTGGGTTCAATACCCTGTTCTGAAAAAAAAAAAGAAAGAAAGAAAGAAAAGAAGTCAAGGTCCCCCGAGGACCTGGTTGCTTACTCCCTGCCACTGCTTGTTCCTCTTCAACAACACCTCCATTCTCTGGGGACACTCGTGTTCCCCAGAGCACAGGTGTGAGTGGCTCCACGCCCCTGCCAGTTCTGATGCTGTGCCATCTCCTTGGTCTCTGGTGGCTGTAGTCCCCTGAATCAGGAGGTAGGTGTGGAGACAAGTTGGCTTCCAAAGCTCTTCACATCCTGCTACTGTGGGGAGTGGCGAAACTCTTGAGATTATCATGAAAGAGTCCTGGCTAGGAAAGAACAAGAGAGGAAGGAAATAGCAGCCATTTTTCTGTCAGATGGATGGTAGGGGCTGGACAAGAGAGCTTCGCACACAGGACCGAGCCTTGAGGGTTGGAATCTTCCCCTGAAAATGTCACAAAGCATTGGGATTGTTCCCCGAGGTCATGCAGAGAATCGCAGCCACTGTGTAGCTTGGCACAGCACTCTGTCCCCCTGCTGGATGGACTCGCTTCTGTGCCCCAAGTATCAGGATTGGCCAGGTGCCTGCTGAGAACCAGCAGGGACAGAGCAGGAACAATCAGACCCTGGGGCCCAGAAAGGGCCAGGTGGCCAAGCAAGGGGGTAAAACATACTTCATACATGATGGGGCCACCCACAGGCTGTCCCAGAGGGAGACAGGACTTTGGCAGGGAGAGAGTAGAGACCAGACCTCCCAGGACCAGTGCTGGAAGAGTGAGAGGGTAAATCCATGAGCACAGTGGGTTTGCCTAGAAGTCCAGAAAAGGAGATAGAAGGATGTGGACACAAGGGCTGCAGCGGTGTGTGGAAGGCTGTTCTAGGAGGGTGTGCTTCCGCACGTGCAGGCTGGCCCTGGATTTCCATGAAGTGTCTGAGTCATTAGGAGAACTGGGTAGCAAGTGTTCTCGGGGACATGAGTAACCCCGCTTCCACTCTGCTAGGGGGAGTCTCCATCCATGGATGTCCTGCGGCGGCTTATTCAGGAAGAACTTGAGAAGCAGCTGGAGAGTGAGTAGCTGGACTTTATTATAGCTTTGTGTCCTTCAGTCCTTCATTACTCTGTATTCCAGATTGGAAGACACCCTAGGAGCAGGTCGCATGGAGTAATGAGGCTGGGAAAGACCTCAAGGGCCCTTATTGGACACTCAGATTTCCTCTGCAGAGCCCTTCCCGAATGGACATTCAGCTTCTGCTCCACTGCCCCTCGTGACAGAGCTTGACATCTACAAAACCATATCTTTTGTCATTGGTCACATATTCCAGTCATTCACTCATTTATCTAACCAGTCAGCAGCTTTGGATGTCCGCTGTGGACCTGGTTGACCGTCTTACTCCAGGGGAGGAGACAGATCAGTAAACAACACAGAGTCTCCAGTCCCTAAGAGGAGTTCTGTGATTTACTGTGGAATGGGTGGCACTAAAAGAGGACAGAAGAAAACACCTAAAATAGCTCAGAGGCAGGGGACTGACAGGATAGTCTTTCTGGAGGAGGGGAGGTGATTTGTGAGTTGAGAGATAGGATGGGATCCCAGCTAGGGATGGCAAACCTGTTAGTGTTTCCATTGGTAACACGCAGCGGGCCGCAGCATGTGTGCCAGGGGGTCACCTCCGCTGCTGTAGACCTTGAGAACAGCACAAGTGAAGACCTTCAGAGAGACAGCGATGGCAGTGGGCTTCTCCCTGGGAGAGGAAGGGCTCTTAGCATATGTATGTGTGACCATGGAAGGCCCTACAGGCTCACAGGGCTGGCATGATTGTCATCCCGAGGAGGAGTAGGAGCAGAGATACCAAGCGTCTTAGCCGAGGCTGAGGAGCTGGAAATTTCTGCTGGGCTTCACCCTCCGGCCTGCACCCTCCTGGCTTGTAAGGGAGCAGCAGAGGGCCCAGTGAGCCAGAGCAGGCAGAGACAGGCATTGGCACTGGCTCCGTGTCCAGCACCAGGCTCTGTCTCAGGCACACTCCATCCATGGGATGGGTTTTGGGCCTGGTTCTCTAACTGTGTGTAAACAAGGGAGGCTCTAGGTTGCCACTGGACAGGCACTGTCTACCTGGTCAAAGAAAAGACACACTGTGCCAGCTGTCGGGCTAATTCTCTCACCTCCATATGGTGTGTGAGGGTTGTAAGCATCTTCCCTGATGCGCATATCCAGCCCTTCAGGTTTAAATGAAGGATCTGAGGCTCAGAGAAGTAAGGAAGTAGCTTCTCATAAGCCACTTATCTCTCCCTAAATCTCAGTTTACCCCAGTGCCGTCCAGTCATTGCTGCTAGTACTGCTGTCAGTGCTACAGTTGCCGGTATTCCTACTATTGCTACTGGCAGCGCTGCTACTGCTGTCCTAGTGCTGCTGTTACTGCTGAACAGCTACTTCCAGCACTAGGACCGTTGCTGTCAGTACTGCTGAGACTGTTGCTAGTAATACGACCACTACTGCGCAAACTACTGCCGCTGCTGTCCGTACCATCACTACCGTTACTGCTGCGGTCAGGACCAGCACTACTGCCAAGACTGCTGTTGCTGCCTGTAGTGATACTACACAATTGATACTTCCAAAAAATTACTATGCTCCCATATTACTACTACTGTTTGTGCCACTATGTTGCTACTAGTACTGCAACTACTACTTTTGAAGCTACTACTCCTGCCAGTACTACACCAGTGCTACTGCTGCTGCTGCCACTACTACCACTGTTCCAACTTCTACTGACCGTGCAACTCCTATTAGCACCCACCGCCCCATGATTACGGTCACTGCCATGCGTCCTGCTGCCCTGACTGGCCCTGGGATCTCCGGAGCTCAGATGCAGGGCTGGGTGCTGTTGTTCTGGACTCTCTCATTCACTCGTCCTCCCATCAACCAGCAGACTAGGTGTTTATGCCATTGACTGCCTTTACTGATGGGAAGTTGAGGTTGAGAGAAGCCCTGTGGCTCGTCCAAGGTCACAGACTGCTGCTGGTTGGATGGATCCTCCGTGGTGAACCCTCTAGAAGGGTGTGTGTTGTGCTGCACATGGACATATGGGTGGCGCTGGTGGTGGTGGTGTTCCTAGGTCATTACTGTGGCCCACTTGTTCCTACCTTTCAGTCGGTTGCTGTGCTGTTCTCTGTCCTCTCCCTGTCATTCATGGGATGTCTCTCTTTCTCCCACCCACAGACAGACTTGCCTACCTCCTGGCCCAGATGCCACCTGCACATGTGAAAGCATCGCAAGGCAGACCTGGGCCCCCGGGACCCCCTGGAAAAGATGGTCTTCCGGGCAGGGCGGGGCCCATGGGGGAGCCGGGCCGACCTGGCCAGGGGGGTCTGGAAGGACCCTCTGGGCCAATAGGTCCCAAAGGTGAGTGGACACGAGCAGGACTTGCTGTGGGTCTCTCGGGGCTAGCAGGAGCCAAGTGCGTGTGTGGTGTCTTGGGCTGAGCCTGTAGCATTATTCTGTCTTCATTCCCTGCAGCTTGGGACAGTCTGGAGTGTGGCATCACGGAACTTTTTCTTTAAGAGGTTTTCATACTTGGTATTTTTGTAAAAATATGCTTCTGCTATGACATTTAATCCTGCTTTCTCTTGCTTCTTTGTTCTCTCTCTATCTCCTTTACTTAGGTTTCAGAGGTCTGAAAAGAATGGTCTTTACTTTCCTCCTGAGATTTAGGGCTGAGGGTTGCACTGTTTCTTCTCCATTTCTTGGAGATTATCACCAGCTTTGAAATTGGATCAGATGGTGCTGATCTCCAGCTAGCCATGGTTGCTAACCATCCTGTGGTGGGACAGAGGGGCCTCCCTACGCAGCGAGGCCCTGGGCAGCAGCGGGGTCTCTTCCTCAGAGAGAAGAGCACAAGTGAATCCCTCTTAATCCACCTTGCCCTGCAGGCAGATTAGAATGCTGTCTTCTGCAGGTAGGCTGGGGCGAAGAGCAGAGAGGAAGGACATAAATCCAAAGCCACCAACCTGAGGAGTCCTCCGTGCTGGTCCTCCTCTCCTGTGCACATACACACGTACACACACACACACACACACACACACACACACACACACAGAGTCAAGTGTGGATGGGAAAGAAGCCTGTAGTATCACTTTTGCTGTTTCTAGGTGACTTAGAGTTGTGGCACTGGATGATTGTAGAAACTTCCTCTTTCATGTCCCATTTACTTAAAGTATTAATTTACTCTGTTTGTTTAACTGAAACCCCTTTTGTTAAATTTGAGCATCCTGGTCCTACCTACCCATATTTGTTAATAACATGAAATAATAGTTCATCAAAAGAATAGTTCGCCAAAGGCATAGATAGAGTCAGAGCGTGGCAGAATCCTGGCCAAATATTATAATTAAAATCATAGAAATTAGCAGTCTAAAGAGCCCATGAGCTGTAGAGCAGAATCTAAGTGATGCATTTGGGAGATGTTTTGGAATGTAGGTGTTGAAAAACTGACTGATTTTATATAAAAAAAAAAAAAAAAAGAGTTGAGAGAGTTTCAACCAATCTGTGTAATCTTAAATCTAGTACAGTCTAAATACTGGAAAGAGAAATGACCTCCTCTCCTCTGAGTATGTCTTTTTATGTGCTTATAGTGGCACCTATTGGCTTCTGCCTTTGCTTCCACTTCATCTAATTGGACTTCAGGGTTCCTTAGCGTAAAGCTGCATTGTGCTCATTGTCACGAGTCGTTATCACCTAGGCTGTCGGACTTGTGCGTGAGTTGACCAGCCCTTCCCATGGAGATTGAGATTAAATGCTCTGAGGTGTTTGTGTGGCTTCTTTGAGGGAAGTGTGGCTGCTGGTGAGGGTGTTTGTGTGGCTTCTTTGTGTGCATTGAAGTGTGTGTGCGGATGTGCACACATGGTAGCCTGTGTTTGGCGAGTCTGCGCAGAGGAGAGCCATACATAGGTCCTCAGAGAATTGGGTAGGTGTGTGCTGGGGTGAAGGTTCCTCTGTAAATACATGTATTTTTGTCTGGGTTTAACAGGGAAGTTCTGTTTGATTTTGTGCTTGTGTGCGTAGGTTCTGAGTGTGAGTATTCTTGGATATGCATTATGCACATGTGTACGTGTGAGCAGGATGGTGCAGAGGTATGTGTGAGCAGGCGTGAGTGGTTCAGCTTCAGGGGCATGAGCCACAGCCCATGGGCTGGGCTCCCTGTCTCTGGCCTCAGTGGGCCTCTTGAGTACTAAAGACATCTGTGTTTCTCAACAGGCGAGCGAGGAGCCAAAGGTGATCCAGGTGTACCTGGAGTTGGCCTCCGAGGCGAGATAGGACCCCCTGGAATCCCAGGTACCAAGTGTCTGGGGTCTCGGGGAGGGCAGGTGTCTAGAGTAGGGAGAGAATGCACAGCTGTGCTCTTGTCTGTGGCCATGCAGGGCTCAGGCTGGGTGGGGAGACCGGGCCAGGGTGAGCGGATCAGAAGGCAGATCACTAGCTTTATCTGAAGAATTTCTAAAGCTCTTGAGTTATATTCCAGGAATCAAAAATCCTGCTAATTTATTATTTCAAAACAGCTAGAAAAAGAGATTTTAATGTTAACACAAAATAATGATACAGACTTGAGGGATTGCTTATGCTAACTGCCCAGATTTGATCGTGACAGGTCACATAAGTGTTCTGAAATAGCATATTATGTCCCATAAATATAATTATTATAACAATTCAAAATAATAGTAGTGGGCCAGGGAGATAGCTCAGTAGAGTAAGCACTTGCCTGGCAAGTACGAGATCCTGAGTTCAATCCCAGTTCCACCAAAAAAAAAGAAGAAGGAGAAGGAGAAGGAGAAGGAGAAGGAGAAGGAGAAGGAGAAGGAGAAGGAGAAGAAGAAAAGAAAAAAAAGAAAGAAAAGTGAGACAAAATAATAATAGTAATGCATGAATACTGGGCATGGTAGCATATGCCTGTATTCCCATCATGAAAGAGACTGAAGCAGAAGGATCACTATAAGTTTGAGGCCATTTTGGACTCCATAAGCAAGTTCCAGGCCAGGTTGAACCACATAGTGAAACACTGCCACAAAAACAAACAAACAAACAAACAGGAATGACCAAAGAGAAATGTCCTTGGAGAAATAAAACAAAACAACCAAAGCAGACATAGGTCATGCAATGGTGGGGACAGTACTGCCTTTTGACATTCCTGGTGCACATTAGCTTCTAGTAAGTCCTAGAAAGATGGGAGACTTGTGGGAAAAAGAGGGTCCACCTCATTTAACTCCATGTTGGCCAAACTCACTGAAAGTAGAACTTCTTTCCTCCCCCTACATACTCCTTGATGCCCTGTCAGGATTTCTCTAACATTGCGTAGGAAACCCTGGCCATGTTGCAGATTGTTAGCTGTTCTGAGCTTACAGGCTTCCCAGGCCTTGGACATATAGTTCTGAAGCTGGAATGCACCTGGGAAAATGGGGATAACTTGGTCACTCTACCCAGGAGCTCTGCTGGATATTTCGATAACATGGTAGTAATTATACTGCAGGATGAGGAATGGCTGTAGAAGGCAAGGAATTTGTATTTTTATCAAACTTTGCTTCACTGAGGCTTCAGTGTTTCTATTTAGTTCTAGTTTTTCTTTTCCTAACATCCATGCCTTTTGAGTATTGGGCCGCTGTTCTAAATAATTTTAATTTTACTATTTATGATTTTATGATTTTTCAAATCCTCTACAGTGGACATGTACCATTAGTTTTATTACAGGAGATAATTAGATGTGAACAATTTTAATGATTGACCAATTTCAACTAAATTACAATATGAAAAATATTTTGGGGAGGCCAATTTTAAGTAAAGATAAAGAAGTAAGACATGGGGCTGGTGAGATGGCTCAGTGGTCTAAAGCACCTACTTAGAACAAGCTTAGTAAAGCACATGGACCGGGGTTCAATCCCCCAGCACCACATGCCAGCCAGCCCCGCCCCCTGGTGGGCTGAGCTGGCCCCCCCCACACATATAAATAAATAAATTAAATAAATTTAATAAAAAAAAGTAAGACAGAAGAAATTTAGAAGCAGGAAATTTATATCCACTTGTGGCAGTTAGTTCAGTGTCAGTTGAGATGACTGGCACCTGCCAGTGATTTCTAGTGGGAGAAAAACTAATGCTGCTGGCCTGGAAAATTGCTCTGTATTGGGCCAGAGATCAAATAAATATTATCAAAATGAATGAAAAATCTAAAGATAGTTTTATGTAAAACTTTACTTTTTGTTTACTATATAAGGAGTATTTGGTGCTGGGAGCTAGCTATCAGCAGTCTAAGCACCTGCCTGGCAAGTGAAAGAACCCAAGTTCTATCCCCGGTACTGCATGCTATGCTAGCCCTGGAAGCCCAGGCACACTGTGCTGGCCCTGAAGCCAGGAGTGGTGGCACATGCCTGTAATCTCAGCACTGGGGAGGTGGAGACATGAGGATCACTGCAAGTCTGAGCTGCATAGTGAGACGCTGTGTCAAAAAAAAAAAAAAAGTATTCTAAGGACTTAAGACATACAACTATAGAGTTGTGCACAACATAAGGGGTACAATTACCAGAGTTGGTCATGACACCGACCCCTGCACTTTCCAGTTGCCAAAATCTTCCCCAAAAGACAGACAAGTTTCTTATATATGAAATTATGCTTCAGGATATGGAGTGGGACAGAAAGTTTAACTGTTAGTTTCTTATAGCATGGTTGCTGTCACTAACTATGATTTTGAAGAACAGGTTAATGTACTCAAAATTTAACATGTACATAAAGTTGAGATAATATAGCAGGTCTGGAACATTTCACGTCGGATAATAAGAGGTCACCAGGTGACCCTGAAGACACGCATTGGGCTGTATTTGGGCGATCAGGGCTTGGTGTTCCATTCAAAACTGAAGGCATCTCCTAGAGCCATGTAAGGCCACAGAAGACCTAGAAGACCTTCCTTATCTCTCTCCAGTGGGGAGAACATCCCCTTCCTAGCTTAATCACTTCCTCCCCATTTCTGTGCAGTGGTGCCTGGACCACTGTCTCATACAGACAGTGAGGATGCCCGTGGGTACCACATGTCAGGTGTTGCTGCTGCTTTCAGCTCACATGGACCATGATCACCCAGAGTAGTGTCTCAGGCCAAGGCATCTCCTTTCTGAGGACCATACACTCACTAAGCTCATGCTGAGTGGGAGCAGGGAGAGCAGGGCTTGTTCACAGAACTTGAGCTGAAAACCTTTTGTTTCTTTTGCTCCTTTGTTCAGGTCAACCTGGGGAGCCTGGCTATGCTAAAGATGGACTCCCAGGCAGTCCTGGCCCTCAAGGGGAGACGGGACCTGCTGGACACCCTGGCCCTCCAGGCCCACCAGGTCCTCCTGGCCTGTGTGACCCTTCCCAGTGCGCCTACTTTGCCAGCCTTGCTTCCCGGCCGGGTAATGTGAAAGGCCCCTAAAAGATTCTAGAAAATCAAAAGACTGCAATGGATTTCTGAAATTTGAACTCATAGCCCCATGGGACACCAGAGGCCTCAAGACATTTCAACTCCTTCCGTCCTTTGCTTGCTTCTTTTTTCCTTCCTTCCTTCATTCCTTCCTTCCTTCACTCCTTCCTTCTCTTTTATATCAATTTCTTCAGAGACCTCAGAGTTATTAAAACAAATGCTGCAGATTATCAGATTATTATTAATGTTATTACTCTTAATTATTATATTATTGTCGCCTTTGCCAATGCTTGTATTTTCCCTCTGTTCCCACACTGGTAACGTGAGACAGTGGGGCAGCTGGTGTTCCTGACTCCCCCAAGGGCACCATCTGAAGCACAGCTCCTAATTTTGAGACTCTTGGTGCTATGAAACCCTGATCGGACACTTGCAGAATTTACCTCTTACCTGAAAATCCAACTTTACACAGTGGAGCCCAAAAGCTTCTGTTCTCAGCTGTGCCCAGAAGTCACCCAGGGAAAACAGTCTCCAAGCCACTGCTTCCCAGGAAAGCAGGAAGAAGAAGGGCTCACAGACTTGAAGAGCATTCTGTCTATGCAGGGAAAGCCCAGCAGAGAGCAGTTGGCTCTTGGGGCACAGCTGGTGTCCTCCGTGTTTCCAGCTGTGCAAGGGGGATGGATGATGTTATGAGGCTTGTCATTGGCTTGGTGGGATCCTGTGTCTAAGCCAAAGATGAGAAACGGGTTGAAGCAGCAGCCAGAGTGTGAAATTGCTTTTAACCCATGTGTAAGGTCACCTTTGAGTTCCTCTTGTTGGGTTCCATCAGATTAATTGTCAAATAAAGGTATTCAGTGACCATCCCAGTTTTCCTGATGGTGGGCAGTTGGCTCGGCCACTGACCAGAGCTGAGGACTCCTTCCAGGTTCTGACTCTGAAATATTTGCCTTGACTGTATGTGTGTATGACATGCCTGGCACAGGCAGGTGCTCAATAAACTTGAGTTTCCTTCTTAGCTCCTCTTGATGGTTCTTTCTTATCTCTAGCATCTCTCTGAACATGCCAAGCAGCCGAGGACCGTAGGCCTAGGCAGCCAAATCTCTGCAGCTCAGAGTTCAGGCCAACTCAGAACTGGGCCAGGCTCCAGTGCCCACTATGGATTTTCAATCTGTAAACATAGGATGCTCCATCCTTAGTTCTCTGAGAACTGAACAATGCATGCTACATGTTAGGAAGAGATGGGTGAGGCAGAGAAGTGGCCCAGAGAATTGAGCACGAACCCCAGGCTGGCATTTTTCAGCCTGTCTTCCTGTGCTTCCTGCCAAGAACATCCGCTAGTGGATCCATGTCCATGAAGTTCTTTGCTTGGAAAACCATGGGGAAGGTGCAGAAGATTGATTCTGTGCCCTGGGCGGAGGAGGCCCAGCACCATGCATAGTAGATGCTCAAAAAAGATATAGAAGATTCTCAGAAAGTGAAGGCTGAGGTGTGTGTGGGGATACCTGAGCCAAGTGGAGCTTGTCCTGTATGGGGTTGGTAAATTTATTCTAGCCATTGGAATGGAAAGTCTCGAATCCTGCCATGTTGGCTTTGGCCAGGGATCACTCGGCCCTATGTGCAGGGTTGTGAGTGGTTTGCTGTGTAGGGCAGGTTTGAGGCCCCTGGTCAGCAGGCCTGCTTCTGGGAGGCAAGGTTAGCAAGGATTTCCTAGACTTGGCACAGCCGGACTGCAGCCTGAGCATCCCTGCGACCCACAGCTCTCCAGCTGGCCTGGCTACAGGAGGCAGCCCTGGCCACCTTAGGCATGCGGGCTGTGTGAACCTGACCCTGATGACCCCACTGGGATGACTGATAGGCTTAGCTTCCCCCTCTACTGAATGGAATGAATGGCATTCAGTCACAGGATTTGTCTAAGATTAAGGTTTTAAAACACAGGGTAAAGTGACCTGCCCTTTGTAATTGTTCTGTGAGTCCCATTCAGAGTCCAGTACTGATTCAGCATTGCTCATTGCTTTGCTTTAATCCAAGAAGAAAAGTCATTCTTTTCAAGCCAGTAGTTCCTTTCTCTTTTCTTCCCTCATTTTGTACCGTTATGCAGGTTAAGGGGTTTTACGTTGGCATGTTTGTACACGCACATAACATACCTGGATCACGTAATGTTTTCTTATTTTTCAAATCTGGGCCCTGAAGTTTGATCATTTATTCCTGTGTACTGAAACATGAGCAGGGTCCTGTTGTGTACTTCCCAGTGTATTTTCTAGAGGACCTTCACTGCCCATGCCATGTGGAGAAGGCCAAAAGGGCGTGTGTGTGTGTGTGTGTGTGTGTGTGTGTGTGTGTGTGTGTGTGTTCAAAATTATGGCAAGGGCAAAGAAGGTACCTTTGTTAAGCCAAGAAGGGGATGGAAGGGACACATTTTTTGACACCTGTCTGATGCAGTTGAAAGGTGCTATTTGAGGCAATAGTTTTGTTTCTTTGCCTTTGCTTTTCTTATGGATTGTGAATATCTGTGCTTACTTCCTTTTATTTCTCTGATCCAGTGGAACCAGGGTATGTATATCCTGCATAAGGTTCTAGACCACAGGCTATTTTTTTAATTTGGGTTATTGGTATATTTGAGATAGACGTACTGATCATATTCATCAGAGGGAATTTGTACTTGTACATGATAGAATTTATTTCATTCTTTTGTTCCCTATCACCTCCTTAGTTCAACTGCTCTTCCCCTCCCAATTTTATTCCTTTTAAATCATTTTTTGTTTGCCCTTTATTCATTTTCACTTCCCCCAAACTATATATATATATATATATATATATATATATAGGTTCTACAGGGTGTTCAGGATCTCACTACTAGATCAGACACATAGTAATCCACCTATTTACAGCCTCCCAAGAGCTGGGATTATAGGAGTGCACCACCGCACCCAGTCTCAATTGCCATCTCAGCGTGCCCCAGGGACGGGCTGGCATGGCAGTCCCAGGGACCAAACATCTAGCCTCTGCACCTGTTTGCAGGCACTTTAATCCACTGAGCTCTTTGGCTGGCCAGCCCTTCTTCTTTCCCTTTGAACAGTTTCTTCCCATTTAAAAATATTTAATGTACACTTTGTTCCTTATTTACTCTTTCAGTTTCTCACCAGGGAGACAATACAGTGTTTGCACATGGGAGTCTGATTTATTTCACTTAAGAGCATATTATCAAGTTGCATCCATTTACCTAGAAATGCCTCAAATTTATCCTTCTGTATGGCAGAGTAGAACTGTATTATGTATTTGAAAATGCACATCTTTATCGATACCTTGGTTGATGGGCATTTGGTTTGTTTTGAAGATTTAGCTATTACAAACTGTGCTGCTATAAACATCAGAGTTAGTTTGCCAGTGTTGTGTGATGTATTTAATCCTTCTGGTAAGAACCCCAGAAGGGAAACCTCTGGATCAAATCGGATGTCTAATAGTTTTTGAGAAACCTCCATATTGATTTCCATAGTGGTTCTACCAATCTACACTCCCACCAAAAGTGGAGAAGGGTTCCTTTTACCCAACGGTTCCTCCAGCATTTGGTATGGTTGATTTCTTGATGATAGCCATTCTTTCTGGAGTGAGATGGAATCTCAAGGTTGTTTGATTTCATATCTCTAATAACCAGTGATGCTGACCATTTTTCTATATTTATTTGTCATTTTTATTTCTTCATCTGAGAAGTATATACTTGTCTTAGATGCTCGTTTTTGGACTGAGACTTTAAATTTGAGAGACATATTATTTCAGTTATTTATATGTTGCAAATATAAGTCCTTTGTCTGAAGGAAAGCTGGCTAAATTTTTTCACAGTCTAGATTGTCTTTTCACAGTGTTACTGATTCCTTCATTGTGTAAAGGCTTTTTAATAGGACAAGATCCCAGTTATCAATTCTTTGTATTATTTCTTGTGCAGTTGGGGTTTAGTTCATGAAATCTTTACCTATACCTACATCTTTAAGAATTCTGCCTATTCTCTCTTCTACCATATTTAGTGTTTCTGTTTTAATATTTAGGTCTTTGATTCATTTTGATGTTAGCTTATCACCATGCATGGTGATAGGCATGGGTCTAGTTTTACTCTTCAGCATATGGAAAACCAGTTTCTCCAGCACCATTTATAAAGAGATTATCTTTCTTCTACTGAACATGTTTAGCTCCTTTTGAGTGTGTTTGGAGTTGTTTCTTGCATCTTGTAATCTATTCTATTGATCCTCAGGTCTTTTTGTTTGCCAGTACCATGCAGATTTTTTCACAGTAGCTTTGTAGTATAACTTCAAGTCAGATTGTGATACCCCCTGCTTTGCCTTTGTTCCCTAAGATTGCTTTTGGTATTCTAGGTCTCTTCTGAGTCCAGATGAATTTTAGGAATGTTTTCTGTAGATTTGTGAGGTATTCCAATGGTAATTTGATTAGGTTTATATTAAATCTGTGTAATAGTTTTAAGAGTATGGCCATTTTTGTAATGCTAATTCTTCCTATCCAGGAGAAAGGAATGTAATTTTCAATGTATAGATCTTTTACTCCTTTGTTTTACTGATTCCTAATTATTTCATTTTTTTAGATGCTATTGTGAAGAGAGTGGTTTCCCTAATCTCTCTCTGTTTGTTTTTTGTGTACCAGACTGCTATTGAGTTTTGAGTGTTGATTTTATAGTTAGCTACACTTCTGAATTTGGTTATTAAATCTATAAGTCTTTGCAGTAGAGTTTTTGGAGTGTTCTATGTAGAGATTCATACCATCTGCTAATAATGGTAATTTAACTTGGTCCTTTCCTATCCTTATTCCTGTTATTTATCTTGTATAATTCTCTGGCTAATGTTTCCAGAACTGTATTGAATAGGAGTGGTGATAGCGGATATCCTAATTTTGTTCCTGATTTTAGAGTGAAAGCTTTCAGTTTTTGATCATTTAGTATGATGCTGGCTGTTGGTTTGTCATAGAAGGCTTTTTATCTGATTGAGGTAAAGACCATCTATTCCAATTTTCTGTAGTGTTTTTGTCCTGAATGAGTGTTGTCAAATGCTTTTGTGTGCATCTATTGCAATGATCATCTGATTTTTGTCTCTGGATCTGCTAATATTATGTATTACACTTCTTGATTTTTGTATGTTGAACCATCCCTGCACGTCCATGGGGTAAGACATACTTGGTCGTGGTGTCTAATCTTTTTGATAATTTGCTACATTCTGTTTGTGTAGGTTATTAAAGCAACTTCAGATCCTGGACCTGATTGAGTGTTTTCTCAGGGAGAGAATACATCCTGTAAGGGGTATATTTGTCCTTGAGATGCTAGAAACCCAACAGGTGCATAAAACAGGATGAGACTGACCCACCCTTCTGGACCAGTGCTCCATTTCTAATCTTCCTCCTGAGGCATTGTGGGTAATCAGGTTGCCATCCTCACCTCTCTCAGACTGTGGTGCTGGGATGGGGTGGAAATAAAGATGGCCTGCTCTGTTCTAAGAAATACTGGTGCAGGGAAGCCTTGTCAGGGCTAATGCACCTCTGCTACTGAGTTGGCTAGGATCCCTCATGAATGACAGACAGACTGTTGCTATGGAAACCATAGGAGCTTGTCTACCCTGGTCTGCCTAGGTTTCCTTCAAGAATGTTCCATGTGGTCAGAGAAGAATAGAGAAGTTGCAGGAAGTGCTGAGCTGGCTGCCACTCAGAGCCAGCCCCATTCTGCAAGGGTCTGGGAGGACGTGCAGTTCAAGGGCAATAATGGACAGGCCTTTTGGAGAATCTGGGCCACAAAGGGGAACAGGACATAGACCAATTCTCAAAGAGCTTGACTTTGGAGACACTGTTATATAAACTGGTACCTAGTGGTGCATTACTACAAAACAACTTTCCTCAGCAACACTCAGGGTGACAGGAGAACAGGAAACTGACTCTTACACTGCACTTTCATTTTATTAATACTTTGAATGACAAAATCTACAGATACTATA